CAAGGGTCAATATTTTAATTTGGATATTGGCTTGTTTTTGTGTTTTTGGCATCTGTTTGTGGCAGTGTTTCAAAAAGCGCTAGGCGGCACTTAGGTGGTCGGGGGGTCTAGGCCACTCAGCGCCTAGGCGGACGCTCAGAACCTGAATGGCTTAGTAGAAATTTATTTTTAGGGGTTTTCTCTATCTAAAATAGCCTCAAATAGGTTTTAGATTTCAAATGAATCTAAAACCCATAATTTTTCCCTTTTAGTATTAAAAAAATGACCCAAAAATACCCTCAAGGAGCCGCATTGCCACCCCTGTGCGAGGCGCAAGCCCTGGGCAGCCGCTCTCGGGCGGGCGCCTAGGCGGGTTCACGGGCGCCCAGGGATATCCACCTAGTTTGGCCGCCATGGCCTGGGTGATACGCCTAGACCTTCTGGACCGCCTAGGCGTTAGGCGGTTTGCTTTTTAAAACTATGGTTTGTGGTGATCATTAGAGCACATATTGAACTAGGTTGATTCTTTAGGGAAGTGTAAGAGATTCATGAGGCATGGCAAATCCGTGTACTCACCTTACTCCACTCCACTCAAAAGTGGTAATCGACTTACCTTGCTTGATGCTCAAACAGGGTTTTTGTAACTCCTGTCAAGTCTTAACCAGCATTCATCTTGTCCGAGCAAATGGTTTTTGTGGCACATCATTGGTGGATCTGTCATCTTGGCAAGAATTCCTTCAAAATTGGGAACCCACGGCTTTCTAAGATTTTCCATACCCATGCTTCCCGAAGCTACACTTTGTTCCACTCTTTCCATTTATACTCCAAGTGTGATTGCTATAATTTATACTCCCTTGACTACTTCAAGACAAATTGATCTTAATAAGATCATTGCCTACTTCCCAGTAGCCCATATGAATCTGGTGACTGTTGGTATGTCTAGTCCTGTGGTGGCCGCTAGGTCACCTATTGAAAGTTATGGACACATGGCCAAAACATATGTGCCGGGCGTGCGACCCATCAACCTACTAGCAATGGGGGAGAAATATAGCATGCCGCAACAAAAGCTTGATTCCAGGTATCAGCAAAACACAACCGTCTGTTCCTAAAACAAAAGGCCCTTAGCGCCCCAGGACATGAGTGGGGGATGGCCCTACATACAGGCAGCAGCAGCACTGGTTCTACGAAGTCAGAATCGAATCTTTCTGTTGCCTTTCTTCTTATTGCTATTAGTAGTTAGTTAAAGGATGACCATAGAGCACCAACATTGAGGTTTTAGGGGTTGTTGCGGATAACCAATTTCAGGAAATGATTTTATAGAGGTTCTACATACCCAACTTCAGCAAATTCCAAATTTTAATGTTTTAGTGTTTTGTTTTAGCTAGCAGTTTGAGCAAATATTTTAATGTTTTGGGGTCTTTTTCTTTTGATACCCAATTTCAGGAAATTCCTTTATTTAGTGTTTTAGGAAATTTTTTCAGTTGCAAATGAATTGTAATTCTGTCTAGTTTCTAGTTGTCGAAGATAGTATATGTTGACATGTAATCCTTCATTCATTGTAATGGATAGAAATGGATATATGTTGATATTAAATCTTTTGCTGTAGAGTAAGGATACAACCTTTGGGTATTTTCTCTAGGCAAATGGGATGGAGATGGATCTGACAAGATTAACACTATAGTTGATGTACGTCTCTTTGGAGTCTCAAATGTGATTTGTTGTTTTCAAGAGAGTGTAGAAGTGTCAAACTCTAAGGGTTCATCTCATCTCTCAGTATGTGACTAGGTGCAAAGACATTCTATAGTTTATAATTCGAGGTAGTCAAGATCTAGTTCTTGTGAACAAGAATGCCAAATGCCCAACCCTTTTGGTTCTGCTTGTCCTAGAGAAATTCTTTCTTCTATATGTATTGGCATAAAAAGACTTCATTGGCAAACACGGGCTAGGGTGATGAGACAAGAGGAAAATAAGCAGCTATGTTTAGGATGAGATTTCTTGCTCCATATCGAAGAAAGAGATGGCTGTCTAATTATTATGGTAGTCTGTCAGGAAATTCTAGCACGAGTCTTAAACTAATTGCAAATAATGGCATTAGATATTTCACCTATAAGAACTGTTGGCACAAAGGGATCCATTGGATTGTTGAGAAGTATTTTTCTTTATTTATTTGCTCTAGTTTGTCTTGGGAGTTACATATTGTTGCCTCAACATAATGCTAGAGGGGCATGTCTTTGGAAAGTTTAGAAGAGTATTCTTATTATGGTCTAATAAAGGTGAGGACCTTAAACTTCAACCTGTCCCAAGCCTAGGTAAAGGAGGTGGGTTGCATTAGGTAGGCAGTCAATGTAAAACTTTGCCATATCATATCATGAATCTTGAACCTATTTTATATGGGGAAGGGCCAAAAAGATATAGATAGAAGTAGCAATAAAAGATATGGTGACTTTTGCTCTTATTGAGAGCATGGCTCTTGATAGAGAAGAATAGAGGAACAAGATTGATTTAGGCGACCCCAAGTAATTGGGATAAGGCTTGGATGATGATGACGATGATATATTTCTGATTTTTAGTGTACAATTAGATAAATATTTTAAGGCATCTATATTACTAAATCTAATTAATAACTATAAATATAAATAAAATTATCAATATACTAAGAAATGTAAATATTATTATGACTACCTAAATAAAATTAGTAATATCATTAACTTTTTAAATGGATACAAATCCCTAATTTTTTGCCAGAAAAGGCTTCTTCATTACTGATGAAATAAAGCTTTGATATCTGAACTTATAGAATTCGAGCCAACAAACTGACATAGGGTTTTTGTGGATCACACAATAATCTACTAAAAGAGCTAAAAAATTGTTAAAATATTGAAAATTGAAGTAGAACTTAGAAAATGGCGAATCGAATCCATGCATACAAAAAATATAGGGTTTCTTTAGATCCATATATATATATATATATATATATATATATATATATATATATATATATAATACTACTAGTAGTAATATACTATATTACTGTTAGTTATATACTACTACCTAACCAACCTAATAAAGTATAGTTAGTTTAAGTAGTATACTCTACTA